ACTGTGGAACAACTCTTCCTGGTATAAAACCAAACCTGCCTTCTTCTTCTGCCTCTCTAGACTGGCAGCGGCTCTCCAGAGTCTCAGGCAGAAAAAAGCATTTCATATCACCCACCACCGGATCCTTTTAGCTGGAGGTGCCGGAGGCTGAAGCTGGGGACGTCTGCACGCCCGGGAAGATGCTCTGCCACTGAGCCACTGTGCCCTCCTAAATGCCAACACTGGGCTCTCTGCAATGGCCGACCACCTCCGAAATCCGCATTATAAGGGTGGACCTACCTTCTTGGCTCCCGTCAAGGCCGCTTTCTGAAGCTTGTTGTAACAGTACTTGGCGTAAGTGCTGATGGCCACCCCTGGAAGAGACAAAGCGAGAGAGGGGGAGAGAGAGAGAGAGAGAGAGAGAACAGAGTCAGGACGAGGTGGGATACTCCAAAAGGCCAGCGAGAGAGGACAGAGCGAAGGAGAGAGAACCCCCAAACCATCCTGGAAAGAAGCTCCCACGAAGCACTCTCAAAGCCACATTCGCACCGGAGATCTCCGCAGGAGGCACCAGACACTCTCGCCCTTCCCCCGGGCATCCCCCACGCAGCCTCAGCGCAAGACGGAGGCTTCTGGGAAACCTCTGCTCCAGGGACAAACTCCCCAAGGGTCGCAGACTTGGAGGCGTACAGTGACCTCAGGAGGACCCCTGGGGAAGTCGGCCTCTCTGCTTTGCCGCTTCTCCGCTTACAGACTACGAATCCTTCCGGTAGGTATTCTGAAATCCACCAGGAGCTGGACACGTGTCTCTGTCGCACACTGCCTCAGAGCCCCGTCTAAGCCAGCATGACTTTCAGAGCGTAGCCGCTGGCAACCAGATTCTAGTCCAGTAGCACCAACAAGAGAGACCGACTAGATTTTCGAGGTATGAGCTTTCAAGAGTCTGCCAAAAGGAGCTTTGAAGAAGAGGAGAAGAGATTGGATAGCCAGCATGACTTTCAGAGCGTAGCCGCTGGCAACCAGATTCTAGTCCAGTAGCACCAACAAGAGAGACCGACTAGATTTTCGAGGTATGAGCTTTCAAGAGTCTGCCAAAAGGAGCTTTGAAGAAGAGGAGAAGAGATTGGATCTATACCCCATGGCCCTTCACTCCCCAAAGGAGTCTCAGAGCGGCTCACAAACTCCTTCCCTTCCCCACAACAGATTCCCCTTCCCCTCCCCAGATTAGGCCACGACGTTCAGGTGGCTAGTCAGCCCAACCCGGCGGAGCTGCTCTGCAGTCACACGTTGGCGGTAGTGGCGGCGAGGGCTCCTACTTGAAGGCCTGGCGGAAGAGCTCCGTCTTACAGGCCCTGCGGAACTGTAAACTCCTCCGGGAGCTCATTCCACCAGGTAGGAGCCGCCACAGAAAAGGACCTGGCCCTTGTGTCTACACCGTGGCCAGTTAGACGGCACCAGAAGGCCTTCTAGTCACTCACCAGGCCAAACCTTTCCTCCTGTGGGTGCCCCCCTCCCGGCAGTAGTACAGATATGAACACGTGGAACAACCTTCCTTCGGTCTACCGTGGTCAGTGTTGTCTACTCTGACTGGCAGCCGCTCCCCAGGTGGAGGTCTTCTGAACCATTCTTAGCTGGAGACGTGGGCAGTCAACGTGGAATCTTCTGACTGAGCTATCACCCGTCCCAGACGGGTTATTATCGCCTCTGAACTTGGAGGTTCTACTTAGCTGCCATGGCCAGTGTTCCCTCTAAGCTGAGCTAGTGTGAGCTAGCTCACAGTTTTTCAGGCTCCAGCTCACACATTTTTTGTCTCAGCTCAGGAAGGAGGCCTCCAGAGCAAACTAATTTATGCAGTAGCCAAATCGCTCGCTCACTACTTTAATGCCAGGAGCTCGCAAAGTAGAATTTTTGCTCACAAGCCTCCACAGCTTAGAGGGAGCATTGGTCATGGCTACTAATGGCCACTGACTGACCTCATCAATTTGTTTGATCCCCTCTTATAGGCACCTGAACTAGCGGCCATCTTGTGGTGGTGAACTTCACAAATTAATTCTTCTTTGAGGGAAACAGTATTTGGCTTTTTTCTCTTTGGAATGGATAATATTTTGCCCATCTCATTGGTATTAATGGTTTCCCTTGCTCGAAAGCCAGTCGAATCCGACTCTAGGGTTGCGGTGCTCATCTCCGTTTCCAAGCCGAAGAGCCAGCGCTGTCCGAAGACATTTCCGTGGTCATGTGGCCGGCATGACTAAACACCAAGGCGCACGGAACGCTGTTACCTTCCCACCGAAGCGGTACCTGTTTATCTACTTGCAGTTTCTTGCTTTCGAACTGCTAGGCTGGCAGGAGCAGGGGCCAGAGACGGGAGCTCACTCCGTCATGCGGCAACCTGGGTCTCGAACTGCTGAACTACAGACCTTCCGGTCTGCGGCTCAGCGTCTTAACCTCTGAGCCACCGCGGTGGCTCTTATTAGTATTACTAAGACACAGAAGCCTGGATGGCCCCAGCGAGCCGG